GTTGTAACACCGGATACCTTTTCTAAATCTATACGGTTTCTGACTGGTTGATTTACTGGAAAATGCTAATTCTTGGTCTTTTGCTTCAATTTCTTTAACATTTTGTTGCAATAACAGATTTTTAACAAATTCGGTGGATGTTACTTGTTTTGAACCTTGAACTCCAAGTATTAAAGGTTTATATTCTTCAGGCAAGCCACCTAATATAATTCCACCAACAACATTGTCTTTAAAAGGCTCTCCTATATTCTCTAATTGCTCAGCGATATGAATAATTTTATTTACATAATCTTCCATTGATTTACACGTTTCAAATCGGATTTTAAACAAACTAGAATAAAGGCCAATCAAACGGACAACACCAGAGTCTTCATAAACACTTCGCAGCTTTTCCCACGCTTCTTTAGCTGAATTGCACCTCTTGGTTTCTGCAGCTGCACATGGTTTTAAGGACAAATTTATTTTAGCTAACGCCCTTTGATCTGTAACTGGATCGACAGTCTCTCCTGCTTGAGGCTCTATACAGCACCACAGTCCGGCATCTACCAAGAAGTTTTTAATCCAGAACTTCCAGTCTTGGTAATTATTGCCATCAATATGTCTATTTTCTGGTAAACCTCCAACTGCTGTGGACACTATAGAAGACTTCTTAGAGCTTAATTCTTTTCTGAGCTGATCTAATTCGGCTTTCAGTTCCTCCATTTTTCTTTTTACAAGAATGAAGAAAAAAATGTCCGAATTTCTTTTTTGCAATCGTACCTCTAAAAGTTGATGCCCATAACCTGTTGGTGAGTACTGCAGCAGTGGTATGCGTAGATCGGTAGAGATACGTTGTAAATGTTTTAAATAAAGATTAAGATCAACTTTTGACAACCCTTTTTATTTTTCTATTTGTCACACTATATATAGTTAACAACATACATAACTCTAACTACAAAAATAAACAGACTTATAATATAAGTATCACAGAACATATTCTAACACTTCCAATATACCCGCTGTTCAAAAGGATAACTATGAACATTTGATAGAAGTAATAGATAAGTATGTAAATCTAAGAAGTAACGAGTGTTACGAACGGTACGGTACAACTTTCTAAAAAGAAGTCAAAAAGAAGGCGAAAACTTCCAAAGTTTCCTCACGGAGTGTCGAAAATTAGTCAGAACATGCAATTACAATGTCGCTGACCCAGATCAAAGCGCAGAAGATAGAGCAATGAGAGATAAAATAGTAATGGGAATGAGAAATGCATCAAGTATAGAAGCGCTACTAAAAATGGAGAAGTTAACTCTTGTATACGTGTATACAATTCTGCATAACAAGTGAACAAAGCAGAGAGCAAAACAGAGAATTTGAACAAAGATCAGAGGAAAGTAGCAGTATTATGGAAGTGAAATACTATAAGAAAAATAGAAACACGTATAGCAAGGTAAAAAGTAAACAGGAAAGCAGTGGCGGATCTAAGCAGGAGTGGGCCTCGGTGCAAGAAGTGCTTGTGGGCCCCTCTGGCTTCAAAACCAATATGTAAAAAAAAATCACGAATGGTTTGGATTATTTAATTTATTTATAAACTATTAATAACAAATATAAAATAAAAGATAAGTATAAACAAACAGATACTTTCTAAATAAAACAAAAAGAAAAACCTAATAAACTAGTAGTACCTATCTATTATCACAGATTATTAGCTAATCTGTGGTATATAGTATCACAGATTAATTGTACAAATCCGTGAATGTTATTTTTAATATTTTTATATTTATACTTTATAGCGCCCTTTTTCTAACTTTGGCATTTGCAAATCGATCTATTAAATTAGAGATGTCTAAGTTAGATGCCATTTTACTTTCTATAGATAAAATTGATAAATCGCGCAATCGCTGCTGACTTATTGTAGATCGCATATAGTCTTTTATCATTTTAAGCTTACTAAAAGATCGTTCCACAGAAGCAACTGTTACAGGAAGGGTAAAAAATAAAAGAAAAACCGTATAAACCTCGCAAAAGTCTGCTTCCATAAACGCATAATTCTTAATAATAAATTCAAAGAGTTGTCTTATGGACATATCTTCTTTAAGGTCATTATTCATTAAATCTAAAATCATGAGAAACTGATTTACAAAACAATGAGATAAAACTTTCGGATATTTTTCGCAAAATTCTTCACATCGGTGTAATATTTCTTCTGTTGAGCTTACAATTAAATAACGCGGTTCTAAAAATTCAAAAGTTTGTTTCACGGCGAGCATAGCAGAAAATCTTCTAGTAATCTGATTGCGAATAATGTCGATGACAAAGTAATAAACATTAATCTTAAAAAACTCCTCGCTGCTTTCGAAACGATGATCAGAAGAAAGTTCATCAAAGTGTTTTTTTACTTTTCTTTGCCTTTTTGCCTGAAATGTCGGTTCAATACTTAATTTGGTGGCCAGATCTATGGCTTCAGATTTTATATTGTCGTAAGATTTTGGGTCTCTAAAAGTAGCTATATGTTCACCTGCACGGTCTAAAACTGTCGTTACTTGATTCAAATCAATGTCAACTTTTTGTAAAGTTTTTGATGCTAAATTAATATGATTCAAAGTTCTAAACATAAAAATCGTAACAAAAATAAATTCAAAAGTACTCATTCTTTTTTTTAAAGAAGAAGCATCCGCAATTTCATCTTTTTTCGATGATTTTAGTTCAATCTCAGTAAGAGCTTTTAAAATATCATATAATCGTAATTTAACTGCTAAAACCGACTGTATACGCCCTGACCAACGGGTTGGATTGAGTTTTTTTAATGTTATTTGTGACTCGCCGGTAAACGATGACAAAAGGTCCCACCGTTTAATACTATGTCCAAAAAAACTATATAAGTCTTGAAGTACTGCGAAATATGCGGAGATTTCACTACAACCTGATACGGCATCATTTATTACTAAATGAAGATTATGGTCAGCACAATGTATATATTCGGCGTTTGGCTGTATTTGTTTAATTTTGGCTTGTACACCGTTGTATGCACCACTCATCACGTTAGCACCATCGTATCCTTGACCGACGCAGTTACTCAAAGGTATGTTTCGATCTTTTAATATACCCAAAATTGATTCAGACATACCTTTGGCAGATTGATCTTGTAGATCATAAAACCCTATGAAGTTTTCCTTTATTTCAAAACCTATAGCTATGTTATTTAAATCTCTAATTATTTGAACTGTTCTTATAACAACGCTTAACTGATCTGTTTTTGCTATGTCTTGCGTGGTGTCTAACATGAGAGAAAAAAACGGAGCTAAATTTATACTGGAAATTATTTTTTCTAAAACAAATTTAGAATAACACTGAATAAGTTCATTTTGAGTCGTTTTACTTAAATACCGCACAGAGCCTGAAGGCATGGTTACAACTTGTTTCATAACAGGATCATAGTGTGATAATAACTCTACCATTGTTAGAAAATTGCCACTTAAGTTGTCGCTTCCAAGCTTTTCACGATGTCCGCGAAAAGCTAAAGAACTCTTAGCTAAAGCTAACGTTATACGAAACAGTCTTTCTAAAACTTGCTTCCAAAAAGAAACTTCATATCTTGCCTTTTTTTCTAATTCTTTATCGACAGTCTAGTTAGTTTTCCATAACTCAAAAATACTGCAAGACTGGATATGCATTTGAGCTGTGCTGTGCTCAACTATTCTAGAAGAAATGTGCTGCCAGTCTCTTAATCCTCTTCGCCACTGATTATCACCAGAACCAGAAGAAAACAGCCAGCAAGGAACACAATAAGCAGCATCTAGAACTTTTGAATAGCAGAGCCATGTGCGCGGAACTACACCATATTGCGTTACTGATGAGTAATATTTTTCACTAAAGCGCCTGTTTTCTTGTTTTGGATCTTTTGGGTATGGACCTTTGGGTTTGTTAGCAGGCTGACTGATAATAAATCGCTTATCATCATCACAAAGTTCATTTTTGTAATGTCCTAAATCTGTAGATTTTTCAGACGTTCCACCAGTTTCAATAACAGTCGTAAAAGAAAAGTTTTCCGACTCGTTAGAATTATTTTCTTCTTCTAAATTAACAATTTGCATTTGTATCTCAGGTAGTGGTATGGTTTCTCTTTGTGATGTCTCAGTCTCAATAATATTCGCTTCGGGATTTTCTTGTAATGAAGGTGACAAACTCGAGCTCTGATCGTTTTTTGGGATAAAGTATTTATCGATCTTAGGCAATTTTTTAGATTTATCAAGATTTTCTTGTTTCAATTTACGCTTTTCTGCTCCACTCTTATACTTACGCTTATCCATTTTATATTTGTCTACCTTACCAGTGGTAGGCCACCACCTTTCAGTACAATTTCGTTTTTTTTTGACAAGCTAAAACTAAAATTAAATAAAAATTGCAGGTGCTAAAATAATAATAGAAAAAATCGGTTTACCTTATTTTTTCTGCGTTTCAGAAATTAAGATGCACGTTAGCACGTTTATTTACTTCCAAATAAAACAAAAAGTCACAACAAATAATATTATAGCCACTCAGCCACTCACCAGTAAATAGTAATCAGTGAAATGGACACATACACATCTCACATCTAATATGCCGACAAAGGGATTTACAGAGAATGAAAACATCCGCCGGAGCGACATCGATCATCGATCGTGTCAACAATAATCAAAATTCTTACAAAAACGGAATAAAAATCTTTATTATTAGGAACAGTTAGTCTCTATTCTTTACTAGTGTTACTAGTGTTATTATATATTATTTAAACAGCCGTAATTTCAATTTACAAACTGTGATTGATTGGGTATTTTAGAACTTTGTGTACGGGAGAGTTGGCCGGGGGCCCCCCTCACCTCGGGGCCCCTGTGCACTGCACCGAACTGCCCGGTGATATGTCCGCCCCTGCAGGAAAGGAAGGTCACTAAGGTAAGCTGGGGTAAATGTATTATTCAGTAATAACAGTTCTGTAGATGTGTTTGAGAGGGCGCCATGAGCATGTTTTGTTGTGAGGGAGTATGCTGCTTCTATTCTACACTACACTACACTACACTACACTACACTACACTACACTACACTACACTACACTACACTACACTACACTACACTACACTACACTACACTACACTACACTACACTACACTACACTACACTACACTACACTACACTACACTACACACTACACTACACTACACTACACTACACTACACTACACTACACTACACTACACTACACTACACTACACTACACTACACTACACTACACTACACTACACTACACTACACTACACTACACTACACTACACTACACTACACTACACTACACTACACTACACTACACTACACTACACTACACTACACTACACTACACTACACTACACTACACTACACTACACTACACTACACTACACTACACTACACTACACTACACTACACTACACTACACTACACTACACTACACTACACTACACTACACTACACTACACTACACTACACTACACTACACTACACTACACTACACTACACTACACTACACTACACTACACTACACTACACTACACTACACTACACTACACTACACTACACTACACTACACTACACTACACTACACTACACTACACTACACTACACTACACTACACTACACTACACTACACTACACTACACTACACTACACTACACTACACTACACTACACTACACTACACTACACTACACTACACTACACTACACTACACTACACTACACTACACTACACTACACTACACTACACTACACTACACTACACTACACTACACTACACTACACTACACTACACTACACTACACTACACTACACTACACTACACTACACTACACTACACTACACTACACTACACTACACTACACTACACTACACTACACTACACTACACTACACTACACTACACTACACTACACTACACTACACTACACTACACTACACTACACTACACTACACTACACTACACTACACTACACTACACTACACTACACTACACTACACTACACTACACTACACTACACTACACTACACTACACTACACTACACTACACTACACTACACTACACTACACTACACTACACTACACTACACTACACTACACTACACTACACTACACTACACTACACTACACTACACTACACTACACTACACTACACTACACTACACTACACTACACTACACTACACTACACTACACTACACTACACTACACTACACTACACTACACTACACTACACTACACTACACTACACTACACTACACTACACTACACTACACTACACTACACTACACTACACTACACTACACTACACTACACTACACTACACTACACTACACTACACTACACTACACTACACTACACTACACTACACTACACTACACTACACTACACTACACTACACTACACTACACTACACTACACTACACTACACTACACTACACTACACTACACTACACTACACTACACTACACTACACTACACTACACTACACTACACTACACTACACTACACTACACTACACTACACTACACTACACTACACTACACTACACTACACTACACTACACTACACTACACTACACTACACTACACTACACTACACTACACTACACTACACTACACTACACTACACTACACTACACTACACTACACTACACTACACTACACTACACTACACTACACTACACTACACTACACTACACTACACTACACTACACTACACTACACTACACTACACTACACTACACTACACTACACTACACTACACTACACTACACTACACTACACTACACTACACTACACTACACTACACTACACTACCTACTATACTATACTATACTACACTACACTACACTACACTACACTACACTACACTACACTACACTACACTACACTACACTACACTACACTACACTACACTTGCTGCGACTTGTTAGTCTGTCGTTAAAAGCGATCAAAGTCATAGTGATTTTTACGCCGCAGTTTTCAGTTCGAGTTAATAAAAGCCATAGCTATGAAGACTAGAGGCAAGGAAGCGAATCGGCATGCTCAAAATACGGTCCCAAAAATCACACGTCAATTGAACTTTTATAATTAACCGCATGGGCGCTGGTACGGTTTACGTAGTTCAAAATACATGGCTTTTTATGGGAATTATACATAATTTTGTCAAAATAATAAAAATAAACTTGTTTACAACTAAATAAAGCACAGAACATACTGTTGTATTTATTTATAAATAAGTCTTGCATGCTTTAATTGATAAATTATTTAATTTTATCTATATAAAATACAATTTTGGTATGTACGACCAAATTAGAAAAGGTTTCTTAATTGCTGAAATTTGATAAGTACAATTTTGTGGCATTTTTTTTTTTTTTGAATTGAACCAATATATAGTTTTAAGAGTAAAATAAAACACAGTTAACAGATTTTTATTATTGTAATACAAGTATAAAGGGAGATTTGGGAATGTACATGGTATTACCTGATCCTTTAATTTCAGCTGTCCCCTTTTTATTTTGTTAACAGTACCATTAGTTAAAATAGTCTCATCAAATTTTAAATTATCATCTTCTAAAAAGTGTAGCTCGCAAACAGAATCATAACTAGACAGTACTTTATCAGCCCTAGGAATCACATGCTGCCATTGTTCTAAACGTTTAGGATCCTATAAAAAAATATTTGCAATGACTAAATTGGAGTTCAATAAAGAAAACTAACAGTAGTAACTCTTCATCTAACATCAAAAAACATAAAAAAGCAAATTTTCTTTTCTAGTAAGTTAAATTTAATGTGTAATTATTGTTGTTCGTAAGTCAGGATTTATGAATTTATTATTTTTTATTATAGAATTTTGTAATTAAATAAACTACACTCCGTAAGATACGGGTTGTGACTATTTTACAATAAATATATATTATTTAGAAATAAATACATTATTTTACTTACACTAGGAGCTGCAAAAAGACTTGGATTTTTATCTCCTTGTGATTTCTTTAATTTTATATCGGATTTATATCCCGTTTAGCAACCGGCACGAAGAAAATCCTGCTTTGTCGTTTTTTGTTACTCATTGTTACTTGTAGTCAGGTTCTTTATTTCAGCTTATTTTTATTCTTTTCACTAAATTTTAGAAAAATCACTTAATTTCCCATTGACTTGCATAGAAAATAGACGTCGTTATTTTGCCACCCGCCAACTACAGTGGTTTTTTGGAACTCCATAAAAATAGGGACGGAAATTTGAAATTCGACTAAGGCCGATTCGACCCTTATCTCTATTTTTTATAGCTATAGCCTATTTGTAGGACTGAGTAAATATTAGACAGGTAAGTTTGATCTTAGAATTACACTTTAGGTGGTATGTTTATTGTGTAAAAATGTTTTTAGCAGCATTTTTGTTTTAGTAATGATTATTGTTGATGGTACAATTGCCCCTAAAAAAATGTGATTCGGGGCTAATGTAACATGTTATATAGGGGCAATTGCAACAACTTATGTTACATTTACCCCTAAAAAAAAATTGATAAATTGTAAAGGTTGCTGCTCCAATAGTATCTTCTTCGTTTTAGGAGTCATGGTTAGGAACTATATTAAAAAGACCAACGGCCCTACCTATAATGAAAATACCTTAAAAGAAGCCATTTTGGAAGTAAAGGCAGGTCGTTTGACTACTGGGAAAGCTGTAAAGGTATTTAATGTACCTTATTCAACAATATACACTAACTAAAGATTCCCGCGGGCAAATAAAAAAAAGAAAAGGGCGTCGCATGATTCTTTCACCTCAACTTGAACAAAAGTTAGCCACCGGACTGAAAACACTAGAAAAATGGGGCTTTGGTTTGTTGAGAAAGGAGGTGCTACACCTTGTGGGACAATATATAAAATCAAATAATTTACTAACCCCCTCCAAAAATCAGTCACTAGGACATAAAAAGCATAAAAAAGCCACAAAATATGAAGTACGCCAGGCAAAAAGCTGCAGATCCTTTTACAATTTTTGAATATTTTGATCTTTTTGAATCATTATTAGACAACCTTCAAATTAGAAACAAGCCATCTAATATTTGGAATCTTGACGAATCCAGTCTGTGTATTGATCCTACCAAGACCCGTGTTGTGGGAGAAAATAGAAAATCTGCAACCAGAATTACTAGTGGTCCAGGGAGGGAAAACACAACAATTTTATTAATGGCGAATGCTGCAGGCGAAAAGGCTCCGCCACTAATTATCTATAAAGGACTACACATGTATGATCAATGGTGTGCTCCGCAAGGATGTGGTTACCCTGGAACTGTTTACGCGGCATCAAAATGGGCTGGATGGAGACAGATATATTTAAAAACTATTTTCAGCGCACTGTTTTACCAACTCTGGGTGAAAATCGTCCTGCTATTATCATATATAATGGACATTCGATTCATATCAGCCCTGAGATAATACAGTTAGCGATTCGAGAAAACATAACAATTCTTAAATTACCTCCGCACAGCAGCCATTTGCTTCAACCGTTAGACTTGTCAGTATTCAAGCCTTTTAAAGACAAATGGGATGAAAAACTAGTATGATGGCAACGCCAAAATATTGGACGTAAGCTACCAAAATCTCTATTTTCAAAGTTTTTAGGGGACACCTGGAGACTTCTGTCCCCTGAGGTGATACAGAATGGTTTTATAAAAGGACGAATATACCCATTTGACAAAACAGTCATACCAGATGAAAAATTTTGTCCAGAGGCATTACGTCGTTGGCACAAAATAAAAATAAACCAAGGGACCAATTCTGATAAAAAGAAAACATCCAGATTATAGGATCTGTTAATGAAACAAGTAATTTAACTTTAAATGCAGAACCACTGCCGTCAACGTCGTCTACTGCAGATACCATCAAAGATGGAGCAAAAAACTTTGAAACATTGCTATTGGAAATAATCAAGCAAAGCCCTCGACCAGAAAGTGTACGGCGCAAGAGAGTAGGTACAGGCTCAGAAGTCTTAACGTCTCAAGATGTGTTAGAGCTTCTACAAAAAACTAAAGAGGGTAAACAACTCAAAAAACAAAACACAGTTAAATCAAGGTACAAATTGCTCAAATAATATTAAGGATTTCATTAAAGTTTTATATGCTACAGTATCAACAAATGATCTCCAGACCGAAGTTGCCAAAATTTTTGAACCATCTATTAACAAAATGTGCTGTTCTTGTATTACAAGAAATCTTAATATCGTAAATACTTCAGGAGACTTATTTTTTATTTGCGTTTACCGAACTGGACTTCAGCAATATTTTACTTATCTAACATTACAAGAAATACCCAAAGAACTGATTATAAATGAAACTTCATATTACTTTAAGTTTTTAATAGAATGTGTACCTCCATTAATAGGTACAATTGGACATTTTATTTATCACGTACCAACTAAATAAAGAAGGCTTTTGAGTCATTGATGATCTTTCGTACACCGAAAAAATCACGAAATCAAGTCACAAAATAAAAAATCCTAACGTTATTGTCTACTCGAAAATTGGAACATACAACAACGGCCTTAAAGATTATGAAATTATTCAAACAAACTGGCAAACAACAGATCTCATTCCCAAAATCAAACAAACTGAACCGAAAACATACAAAATAGAGCAACTCAAATGTCAGAAGAAAGAACATTCTGTTTTAATGAAAAAGGTGAAACAGTTACCTTGATTAACTCTTGTCTTGACCTTGATCCCAAGTTTAAATTTCTCCATGAATGATACCAATTTTGCACCGTTCTGTAAGTAAGATTTTTACTTCCCTGGCTAAAATCAATACAATATGCTCATCAAATTTATAAACTTTCTTTGCTTCTGTTATTGTCATACTTAAGATCATACTATCATTCAAATATTTATAAACAAATCATTTACATATGGCTTGGCTTGAAGAAATCAAAGTGTCTCAGCTGTTTCAAGAGTATGATTATGTTTAGTATGTATCGTAATTATAAATTGCAATCCTTTCTGAAATAAAACCAAATTACAAAATTTCAAACTGAGAAATAATGAATTACTTACTTGTACCAAAAACAAGACGAGTATGTAAAATTTGATTTTAATATTAAAAATTAGGTATATTTAAAGTTCTATCCTATTATTTACCTTAATAAATGGATCTTTTAATCTTGTTGGTTTAGAAGTCCTAAAATCCACTGAATATTTATTTGTTTGTTAGTGTCATCCATAGTTTTAAGGTTACTTCGAATGTATCATTTTTGAAAATCACGTTTTCAAATTCAGTTAGCAGACCTCTAAGAGTATATAATACCTGCCTCTCAACTTCTCAAAACTTGCTGGTTACCGTTGAGGGATGTCTAGAGACAGCTGCATATTCATAGCTCATCAAAGTCCTACAGGTCATCAACCCGTCAAAAACTGCTAGTTGACGCTGAGGGGTGAGTTAAATTTATTTAACTCGAAAATAATTTTTTAAAAAAACAAAAATTTACTTTTCGAAGATTAGAGACTTTATTTATGACTTTATTCTACAACAATCTAAGCTGGAATGAATTTTTTTTTACTACTAACATAACAAATCACCATTATTTACTCTATTCCTCTAATGAGAAGTAATATTTCTCTCCCTAGGTAAATAATGATAATAAAAAAAAACCTAGGTAAATAATGAAACTAAATTTCATTAATTTCATTTTGTTAATTTGACAACTAAACTCCCAGACTACTTGATATTTTGAAATATTTGAAAAATAAGTAGGAAATAACTAAAGCTGGGTTTATCAAATCTAATCAAATCAAATATGATAATATATATCAGTGTAAACAGTAAAAATATATATTAACTAGGAAATTCAACACCGGCTTTAAAAATTATTAATTAATAACAATAAATCCATGTCATTAAAATATCAAAAATGCAATGGGATATTTCCTAGAATCATACCAAAATTTGACAC